TTTATAGTAGTGCATGCACTACTTTTCCTGCATTCTAGTTTCGACTTGCAGCCCAAATTCAGTGAGCTGATCCCATATCCTGCTTCAGTGCTGCTACATCCGGAGACAAATTCATGTACCTGTTCCCGACAGCCACTGTGTCTGAATCTGTCACAAACACTGACAATTTTGGTGTGTGTGTTTGTATCGTGGATATCTAATATCACACTAATAGCTAGCTGCATTTCCCCTCACAATATTCTTTAGATTTTTGTGAAAGAGGAAATTTAGCAAAAGTGTTTGTTTAAAATCTTCAGTTAAAGAGGAGCTCCAGTCTGTCCCCCTCCAAAAAAAATGAATAGTCATCAGCTATATATACTGTAGCTGCTAATTTTTAATCTAAGAACACTTACATGTCCAGGGATCCAGCAGTGTCCTCACCAAAGCCGATTCTTCAATGGGCTTCAGGTCCAGGTGCCAGCATCTTAACTAAGGGAAAACCACTGTGAAGCCTTGCGACTCCACAGCTAGCTTCCCATTGCACATGCGTGAGCTGTGCTGTGCTTTGTGAATGGTCTTCCAGTCTTCTTGGACCTGTGATGTGTTCCAAAAAGATGCAGGCAAAGGGGGATACATCTTCCACTCTGATCGCCTAGGCGCCCCCCCCCAAAAAAAGTGCCAATTGTTAAAGTGGAGAGGAGAAGGGGCAAATAAGCAGAACTTGCCTTTTTGGGTGAAGTTCTGCTTTAGGTGCAATGAGGTGTATACCACTTCCTGGATCTCTACCTGTTCTTTATCTGTTCCTCCTCTCCATTTGTCCTGTCACAGAATGCTTTATATTTTGTAAACCCATTCACAGAGTACAAGGTGTTCCAGGGGATAGGAGGGGTGACTGTGGGACTTGTGTGTAAAGAGGTTGCAGCCCTGGAACTGAATAAACATGTAAATTATAAACAACAGGCAGTGATCTAGGAGGTGGCATATACATCAATACATTTAATTATGTGTTACCTAGATTGTAAATAAACATTTTTCCCAGAGTAATTCGTTAACTAGTTGCAGACTTTCGGTGTGCTACACATGTCCAAAAAAAAACTTTATCATTGTACACAGGACATGTGTAGCATATCCAGTCTTTCTGCCCTGCTTGTGGGTGCAGGATTATAACTTTTTTTTTTTAATTCTTGAACTGGATGGACTTTTTTCTATTTTCAGCCAGACTAACTATGTAACTAGGTGATTAATCAAAGCCAGCATTAAAGTATACTCAGAGAAGACGTCGGCAGCTCTAGCTGTCAATAAACAACACTGCTCCAGACTGTGAATATACAAAGATACAAAGTAACATATTGTTACATTTGTCTTTTTCTGTTCATTCATCTGCAGGTCAAAAACAGATGACCTTCGATCTGCAGATGATGTTAGCTAAAGCACCCTGACAAGAAACTATTACTTGCGTGCTAATTTTTTTGTTTCTATCGTGTTAACTATTAATATGTAAACGCATTTGATTTTGTTTTGTTTGTTAATATTTTTACACATTTAACATATATTTACACATTTCCAATTTTAAAAAGTGCAAAATTGAAAATAAAAACACTTTGTTTCATTTGTGAATATTTTTACAATGCTTTGTACCAGAATGCTAATTTTAGTGTCATTTTAAACAGGACAAATGACAGAATAAAATGCACACATTTGATGTGCAAAAACACTATTTATTTTGAAACTAACACTGCTCAAAAAAGGAAAAAGTGTGTTTTGTTTACCTTTGTTGTGTTTTATCGTCTGATTGTCTGGATTGAGACAAAAAAAATCATTGTTGCAAGAAAATATGTTGTTTGTCCTTCCTTAAAAACAATATATGTATAACCTTGTTGAAATGACAAAGTTATCGCTGAATAAACAGGTCCATAGCAGAATTGTAAAAATTGGTCTGGTCCACAGGGGGTGAACAGGTGTGAGAGGCAAAGTGGTTAAGTAGCTTATTTACTAAATTATCTGGCATTTCTAAAGATACACTGGGATTCTATGTCCACCTGCATGTCACAACACATATTTTTTCATGTAATAGCTGATTTAACTGTTACTGTATTTGTATTTCTGTCCATCCAGTCCTGATATTTACACTGCTCTGCCACCTCTTACCTGGCAATGAAACGGACCAGATTACAAGACTCCTTCTTATCCCCACCCTGTGACTGGACAGTGAAAAGAGAAGCAACACTCCGATGAGCTTATCTCTGTCACTGTGCTATCAGCATGCCCCATGCAATGCAACACACCCGACAGGCTACTTGTGCTGCTTCTCCCTCCCCTCTCTGAGCTCTTCTGTACAGTAGACTGCAAGAGGCTGACACAAAGTCAAATGTGAGCATTACAAAGATACGATTAACAATGTAGTCATAATTACAGGCCTGCATTATTTGTGCCTATTATATTGTTGAACTTTAAAGTAGACTGAAACATGATCATTAAAAACTCATTCAAGCTTTAACATGTTAATATAATTGCAAAAGTTGTTTCTTTTTACATCTACAATTTTAATAACATTAAATCTCGGTAATCCTGGTATAATGGCCTCGTTATAGTACATCCTGCTATGGGTTGATTACTGTCTGCAAGTGGTGCTCCTGCATTGCCACCCTGTCACATACACCCTGGAGGAGAAAACATGTGGCTGTGCTGGCAGACATTAGCAGGGTTGGGCCACTTATATCAATACCAGTGTACAGCGAGGAGGTGCAGCCAATTCGGGAGTGAGTGCACATGAACAGGAAGTTGCTGAAAAAGACTGGAGGAGATCAGCAGGATTGAGATGGAAAAAAAAGTATTTTATGGAAAAATATTGCAAATGTTTATGGTACAGTGTTTTAGCATCTACTTTAAATTCAATTATTTAAAAAAAGATTATATATGTCTTAGACACAGATCTGATCCTTAGAGGACTCTTACCTCCAGTGAAATACATTCTCAAGTACAGGCTTTTTTCTACATTGCTAATTAGAGAAAAGTAATATAGGATGTGGTGGAAGCAGAAGTGTTGCAAGGTACTTTGGAGTGTTATTTCACTGTCCTGCTTCTCTGGCTTTAGAGTCAGTTCACACTATAGAAATGCAGTCCAGATGCATTTAAGATGCAGTTTTGACACATTTGTGGTGCATTCCGGTGCGTCTTTTATGTGTTTTTGACGCGTTCCAGTGTGTTTTTTTATGCATTCCAGTTCATTTTTCCCCCTCTCTGTTTCTTCAATTTAAATATGGACGTATGCATTCCGATGCATTTTTGATGCATTTTTGACGCATTCCAGTGCGTTTTTGTATGCATTCTAGTTAACTTTTTTCCCCCTCTCTTTTTCTTCAATTTAAATAGGGACATGCGCATTCCGGTACATTTTTGATGTGTTTTACTGCGTTCCAGTACAGTTCTGTGCAGAAAAAAATGCAGCATGTTCTACTGGAACGCACTAAAACTGCAAGCACTGGTGTGAATGATGACATTGAGAACCATAGAACCTACTTTCTGTGCATTTTTGATGCAGAAAAAAAGCAGTGGTATTTGATCACCACTGGGTTTTTTTTTAATTTTTTGCTATACAAATGAAAAAATACCAAAGATTTTGCAAAAAAATAATTTTTTGCTTAGTTTTTGTTATAAAATTTAGCAAATAGATAATTTTGCATCATAAATTTAGGCCAAAATGTATTCTGCTACATTTTTGGGGTAAAGATAACCCAAAACAGTTTATATTATTTAGGCTGTGTGAAAGCTATAGAGTCTACAATCTATGGGATATATACAGTATTTTTCGCTCCATAAGACCTGACCATAAGACGCACCTAGGTTTTAGAGGAGGAAAACAAGGAAAAAAATTGTGAACCAATGGACTGCAGACATAGTACAGGAAATGACCAGAGACTGCAGACATAGTACAGGAGATGACCAGAGACTGCAGACACACTATAGAAGATAACCAGAGATTGCGAACATTGTACAAGAGATGACCAGAGACTGCAGACATAGTACAGGAGATGACCAGAAACTGCGGACATACTACAGGTGATGACCAGAGACTGTGGACACAGTACAGGAGATGAACAGAGACTGCAGACATAGTGCAGGAGATGACCAGAGACTGCGGACATACTACAGGAGATGACCAGAGACTGCGGACACAGTACATGAGATGACCAGAGATTGCGGACATACTACAGGAGATGACCAGAGACTGCGGACATACTACAGGAGATGACCAGAGACTGCGGACATAGTACAGGAGATGACCAGAGACTGCGGACACAGTCACTTTATCACTTTTAGGTAATAGGTGTGGGTGTTAGCTGCCGCCATTTTATATTATTTTATTCTACTTCATTTTGAATTGCTGTACACTTCCTTAGCGCAGAAGGTATATATATTATTTATAGTACAGGAGATGACCAGAGACTGCGGACACAGTACAGGAGATGACCATAGACTGCGGACACAGTACAGGAGATGACCAGAGACTGCGGACACAGTACAGGAGATGACCAGAGACTGCGGGCACAGTACAGGAGATGACCAGAGACTGCGGACACAGTACAGGGGATGACCAGAGACTGCGGACATAGTACAGGGGATGACCGGAGACTGCGGACACACTACAGGAGATGACCAGAGACTGCGGACATAGTACAGGAGATGACCAGAGACTGTGGACACAGTACAGGAGATAACCAGAGACTGCGGACATAGTACAGGAGATGACCAGAGACTGCGAACACAGTACAAGAGATGACCAGAGACTGCAGACATAGTACAGGAGATGACCAGAAACTGCGGACATACTACAGGTGATGACCAGAGGCTGTGGACACACACTACAGGAGATGAACAGAGACTGCAGACATAGTGCAGGAGATGACCAGAGACTGCGGACATACTACAGGAGATGACCAGAGACTGCGGACACAGTACAGGAGATGACCAGAGATTGCGAACATACTACAGGAGATGACCAGAGACTGCAGACATACTACAGGAGATGACCAGAGACTGCGGTCATAGTACAGGAGATGACCAGAGACTGCGGACACAGTACGGGGAGATGTCCAGAGACTGCAGGCACAGTACAGGAGATGACCAGACACTGCGGACACAGTACAGGAGATGACCAGAGACTGCGGACATAGTACAGGAGATGACCAGAGACTGCGGACACAGTACAGGAGATGACCAGAGACTGCGGACATAGTACAGGTGATCAAAAAATAAATGGTCAGTCACTGATTTTTGATATATCTCCCAATGCTGGGATCACTTGTTTGGTTTTCACTGAATTTTATGATCAGTCACTGATCCTAATAAAGCATCGTGGTAGTTGTGAGCACATTTATTGTACAAATATATCACAATTGGATATATTTTATGATCACTATTTTTTTACTTTGGTTTGTCACTTTTTGGAACCCAATAGGGATCAAGGCATTATTGAGAGGTCACTTAGATTTATTGGGATTAGATCATTATTTGTGATATTATTACAGTTTTGTATATTTTTTATATGCGTTATTCATATATAAATATTTATTTATGTCTTGAGCGCTACACCATTTATTTTTTTATTTAGTATTTATCACTTTTAGGTAATAGGTGTGGGTGTTAGTTGCTGCCATTTTATTAATTTATTCTACTTCATTTTGAATTGCTGTACACTTCCTTAGCGCAGAAGGTATATGTTATTTATAGTACAGGAGATGACCAGAGACTGCGGACACAGTACAGGAGATGTTCAGAGACTGCAGACACAGTACAGGAGATTACCAGAGACTGCGGACACAGTACAGGAGATGACCAGAGACTGCGGACATAGTACAGGAGATGACCAGAGACTGCGGACACAGTACAGGAGATGGCCAGAGACTGCGGACACAGTACAGGAGATGACCAGAGACTGCAGACACAGTACAGGAGATGACCAGAGACTGTAAACAAAGTACAGGAGATGACCAGAGACTACGAACATAGTACAGGAGATGACCAGAGACTACGGACATAGTACAGGAGATGACCAGAGACTGCGGACACAGTACAGGAGATGACCAGAGACTGCGGACAAAGTACAAGAGATGACCAGAGACTGCGGACACAGTACAGGAGATGATCAGAGACTACGGACATAGTACAGGAGATGACCAGAGACTGCGGACACAGTACAGGAGATGACCAGAGACTGCAGACACAGTACAGGAGATGACCAGAGACTGCGGACACAGTACAGGGGATGACCAGAGACTGCGGACACAGTACAGGAGATGACCAGAGACTGCGGACACAGTACAGGAGATGACCAGAGACTGCAGACACAGTACAGGGGAGGACCAGAGACTGCGGACACACTACAGGAGATGACCAGAGACTGCGGACATAGTACAGGAGATGACCAGAGACTGCGGACACACTACAGGAGATGACCAGAGACTGCGGACATAGTAGAGGAGATAACCAGAGACTGCGGACATAGTACAGGAGATGACCAGAGACTGCGAACACAGTACAAGAGATGACCAGAGACTGCAGACATACTACAGGAGATGACCAAAGACTGCGGACATACTACAGATGACCAGAGACTGTGGACATACTACAAATGACCAGAGCCTGCGGACATACTACAGATGACCAGAGACTGTGGACATACTACAGATGACCAGAGACTGTGGACATACTATAGATGACTAGAGACTGTGGACATACTACAGATGACCTGAGCCTGCGGACACAGTACAGGGGATGACCAGAGACTGCGGACCTTTGGGGGGGAGGGAGTGGGTAACCGAATTTGACAGGTACCCGCTCCCACTTCCTCCCTCCCAGTCTTCTGGGACATGTAACAGGTCCCAGAAGACTGCCAGACCATTCACAAAGCGCAGCGCTTCTCGCGCATGCACAGTGGGCACCCGGCTGTGAAGCTGCAAACTGTCACAACTGGGTGCCCACATTAAAGATGCCGGCGCTGGGAGAGAAGACCGTGAGGACACCGCTGGATCGAGGAACAGGTAAGGTTCTACTGTAGAGAAGAACTGAGCAGACCAGTATTCTGACACGGCGGCAGCGGGAATACTGGGCTGGCCGCTCAATATTCGCTCCATAAGACGAACATATGGGGTATTGTGGTGATCAGGGCACTGATATGGTGTATGGTGGTGATCAGGGCACTAGTATGGTATATGGAGGTGATGGTATAGCATATGGCAGTGGTCAGCGGTGTTGGTTTGTGGTATGGCAGTGATCAGGACATTGGTATGGTGTATGGATGTGTTTTGTGCACACTGGGACAGGTGACAGGGCCTGCCTGCATTTTTTATTATTGATATTGTGGGACAGTGATCAGGGACACAGGGGCACTAAATTGGAGCACCAGACAGGCTGCTGTACACTCACACACTGCAGGATCGCTTCTCTCTGCTCTCACACTGAGTGCAGAGAGAAGCGATCTTTATATTCAGTTTCATTGTTTACTATGTGAGTGCTGTGATTGGTTACAGCAGTCACATGGTAAAACACCATGTGATCACCCAAACACAGCAGTAATGTGATCCACTGTGTCCGGGCAACACACCGATTACTGGGCTCCAGAGTGCGTGCTCTGTGAGTCGTGCAGGGGCCATCGATGTGGGCTGACGTACAGGAACGTTAGCCCACATAGGCACCGCTTCCCGTCTGCCGTTCATGTAGAATGGGCGGACAGGAAGAGGTTAAAATACTTCCCATAGCTATGCACAGTGTATGAAATAGGGCCAGATCTAGCCGGTCTGATGTGGGAGTGCAGTACAAAATGTCGGGGGGGGGGGGGGCACAGACTATAGGAGGTCAGCAGGGCAGTCTACAAAAACAGGAATCAATAGTGGAGTGTACTGGGGGTCAGCAGGTCAGAGGATAGGGGTTAGCAGAGCAGAAGGAACGGATCAGCAGTTTGTAGGGCAGTGTACCGATCGACTTCTGTACAACCAGCCTCTAGGAACATTTCCACACAACCAGCACTTCCAGCTATAGCTGGCAGCATAGAAGTCTCTCTGCTGTCAGAACACAATACCTTAGCGGGAGTGATTCCTCTATCTACATCGAATGTGTGGATGTACTATGCAGTTTTTTTTTTGGTCATCCCGCTGTTGAATGAAAATAAAATGTCTAATGTATAGGCTGCCTTACTGAGCCTACAATAAAGAAGAATTGCATTAAAACCTGCAACTGTTGAGACAATGAACACCATGGTCAGGTCTATTTCTATCAATGCATGTACAGAGTACAGGGGTCAGGAGTAGGTAATAAACAATACAACATATGGAGTGCAGCAGTTGGGATGAGTGTCATGTTCTCATCAGTGTCCCCACAGTGCCACCATCTTACATCAGAGTCTGGCAGAGTTTCCCCCTTACATCAGAGTCTGTCAGAGCGCCCCCCCTACATCAGAGTCTGACAGAGTCCCCCTTACATCAGAGTCTGGCAGAGTCTCCCCTTACATCAGAGTCCAACAGAATGCCCCCTTACATCAGAGTCAGGGAGAGTGCTTCCTTACATCAGAGTCTGGCAGAGTCTTCCCTTACATCAGAGTCCGTCAGAATGCCCCCTTACATCAGAGTCAGGCAGAGAGCCCCCTTACATCAGAGTCTGGCAGAGTTCCACCATCTTACATCAGAGTCCTGCTGAGTACCCCCTTACATCAGACTCCGACAGAGTGCCCCCTTTACATCAGAATCTGACAGAGTGCACCCCTTACATCATAGTCTAACAGAGTCCCCCCTTACATCAGCGTCTGGAAGAGTGCCCCCTTACATCAGAGTCCAGCAGAGTGCCCCCTTACATCAAAATCCAGCAGAGTGTGCCCCTCTTGCATCAGAGTTTGTCAGAGTGCCTCCTTACATCAAAATCCAACAGAGTGCCCCTCTTGCATCAGAGTTTGTCAGAGTGCCCCTCTTGCATCAGAGTCTGGCAGAGTGCCCTTCTGGAATCAGTATCTGGCAGAGTGTCCCTCTTACATCAGAGTCTGGCAGAGTGCCCCTCTTGCATCAGAGTCTGGCAGAGTACCCTTCATGTTCACAGGGTATACTGACTGCAAAATGCAGTGCCTTGCCGATCCTTACAGTTTGATGGCCTGAAATTAAAATTACAACCTAGCACTTCGAAGGTGCAAAAAGGTTTTGGTTGTTACACAAGATATAATCAAAAAGCAGTTATGTGTTGTCAACACTTGGTTAAACCACTGGCTGCAGTTACAGTTCCAAGTCTTTTGAATTAAATCCCAACTCCAGGCTATTAACAACCCACCCCACTCCTGGTATGAAAAAAAGTATCCAAGTGCCAATGTTTCCCATTTTTATGCTCATTTCATATTCATATACAGTGTCTTGAAAAAGTATTCATCCCCCTTGACATTTTCTATAGTTTGCTTGTTACAACCAAAAACCTAAATGTATTTTATTGGGATTTTATGTGATAGACCAACACAAAGCGGCACTTAATTGTGAAGTGGAAGGAAAGTGATAAATGGTTTTCAACATTTTTTACAAATAAATGTGTGAAAAGTGTGGTGTGCATTTGTATTCAGCCCCTTTACTCTGATAACCCTAACTAAAATCTAGTAGAACCAATTGCCTTCAGAAGTCACCTAATTAGTAAATAGAGTCCGCCTGTGTAGAATTTAATACATACAGCTGTTCTGAGAAGCCCTCAGAGGTTTGTTAGAGAACATTAGTGAACAAACAGCATCATGAAGGCAACACACCAGACAGGTCAGGGATAAAGTCGTGGAGAAATTTAAAGCAGGATTAGGTTATAAAACAATATCCCAAGCTTTGAACATCTCACTATTCAATCCATCTTGCGATGGATGAGCACTGTTTAATCAATCATCCGAATATGGAAAGAGTATGGCACAAATACAAACCTACATAGACATGGCCGTCCACCTAAACTGACAGGCTGGGCAAGAACAGCATTAATCAGAGAAGCAGCCAGGAGGCCCATGGTAACTCTGGAGGAGATGCAGAGCTCCACAGCTCCGGTGGGAGAATATGTCCACAGGACAACTGTTAGTCGTGCACTCCATATATCTGGCCTTTATGGATGGGTGGCAAGCAGAACGCCATTGTTGAAAGAAAGCCATAAGAAGTCCCGTTTGCAGTTTGCAAGAAGCAATGTGGGGGACACAGCAAACGTGGAAGAAGGTGCTCTGGCAACATGAGACCAAAATTAAACTTTTTGGCCTAAAAGCAAAACACTATGTGTGGCGGAAAACTAATACTGCACATCACCCTGAACACACCATCCCCACCGTGAAACATGGTGGTGGCAGCATCATGTTGTGGGGATGCTTTTCTTCAGCAGGGACAGGGAAGCTGCTCAGAGTTGATAGGAAGATGGATGGAGCCAAATACAGGGCAATCTAAGAAGAAATCCTGTTAGAGTCTGCAAAAGACTTGAGACTGGGAGGGAGATTCACCTTCCAGCAGGACAATGACCCTAAACACACATCCAGAGCTACAATGGAATGGTTTAGATCAAAGCATATTCATGTGTTAGAATGGCCCAGTCAAAGTCCAGACCTAAATCCAATTAAGAATCTTTGGCAAAACTTGAAAATTGCTGTTCACAGATGCTCTCCATCCAATCTGACAGAGCTTGAGCTTTTTTGCAAAGAAGAATGGGCAAAAATGTCACTCTAGGTGTGCAAAGCTGGTAGAGACATCCCCCCAAAAAAACTTGCAGCTGTAATTGCAGGGAAAGGTGGTTCTACAAAGTATTGACTCAGGGGGGCTGAATACAAATGCACGCCACACATTTCACATATTTATGTACTTCACTCCACTCCACAATTATGTGCCACTTTGTGTTGGTCTATCACATAAAATCCCAATAAAATACATTTAAGTTTTTGATTGTAACATGACAAAATGTGGAAAATGTCAAAGGGTATAAATATCTTTTCAAGGCACTGTATGTTATTGAACAACCCAAAGGCCATCACATGTAACCTAACAGCTATCGTAAGTGAAGACTGACTCCACGCAGCAAGATGTACAATATTAAGAACCATTAACATGTTTGATCAAACAGCAACCCAACACAAGGGGTCGATCGACATATGAACAGATATAGCCCAACAGATGATGACATTTAGCAACATAAAGCTATAAGAAGGTAGAGAACCGATAGTTGGATGGTCCACCCCAGACATGGCCTGGGGAAGAGCTAAGACCAAGCAAAGTCAATGAAATATACAGCAATGTTCAAATAAACAAAATAGGAGTTTAGAAAAGTAATGGGAGAAGAGGGAAGGGGAAAGGGCTGGTTCCTGGAAATAACCGACCACGGTCCCAAGAGCACAATAAACTAATAAGGATACCAAGTCAGCTAAAGCTCCATGAAAGACACGTTTTTATGTCCATTTCAGGTGGAGGCATAGAGGAGCTCAGCTATGAGGAAAGATTAGAGGAACTGAATTTATTCTCTCTTGAGAAGAGGAGATTAAGGGGGGATATGATCAACATGTATAAATACATCAGTGGTTCATATAGTGAACCCGGGGTAGAGTTATTCACTCTGAGGTCAACACAGAGGACAAGGGGGCAGTCTTTACATCTGGAGGAAAAGAGATTAAATCTCCAAATACGGAAAGGTTTCTTCACAGTGAGAGCTATTGAAATGTGGAATAGACTTCATCAGGAGTTGGTTCTGGCCAGCTCAGTGGATTGCTTTAAAAAAGGCCTGAATTGTTTCTTAGATACACAGAATATAACTGGATACTAACAT